GGTATTTATTGGTTCTGGAGAGTTTGACCACCACACGTGTCCCACGATTGTTTGTGGAACCGTGATTTCACGGATGAGGGTGAGTAAAATGCAGTGAAACTGAACCTTAGTGGTAAAGCAACAGGCTTTATTTGTGTGTTCCACAGGTGTCCTTCAACAACTCGCTGTTCTCCATCTGCTCTGAAATCATCCCAGACTGCCTCTCGTTGGTGGACCCACAGGATGACCGTGTTTCTATAGAGGTTCTGTTTGAGGACACCAACCCTGGATCAGTGATTAACCAGGCTCTGCCCAGCTTCAACACGACCTCTCACTGCAAGATTAAACTTGAGCTGCAGGATGAAGCCCTGAGAACTCGTGTAGGTTTCAGTTTCTATTTGTTTTAATTCTAATGAAAGGTTCTCCTGTAATCTGAGATGTCTTCTATCCATGTTCAGATGGTGATTGTACTGTACAACTATGAAGAAATGTCAGCAATTCAGATCATTGCAACAAGTGACTTCAGCTCATCTAAGCTGGTAAATGCTGAGAAAGATCTAACCTTTATTTTAACAAGGTCCTGAGTTCTCCCGTCTGTTTCACAGGTATTACTGGATGAAGTGAATAACATCCCAGTTTATTCTGTGTCCTTTAACTTGGCTGACTCTGACCTGCAGAATGGAGTAATTTTCTCATTGAGCACCTGCCCATTTGCAGGTGAGTTGACATGTTTATTTTCCTTTTTTGGGGGGGGCGTTAAAATGTAAAACCATATTTTTGATGTGCGTATATATTTTTCCCCTTCAGGGTGGACCAGTGTAACCCCAAGCTAAGAATCTGCCAAGAAGAAATGTTCTGAGATGTGCCAAATCAGTAAAACAACAAAACTCTTTCTGGCTTGAGTGATTCTTCGGTTTAGTGCTAAAAGGAGATTGACTAAGCCCACTACATCTCTTGTGAACAGGATGCTGTTTAACCCTCGGGCTCAAAATGAGTTTAAAAGGACAAACAACTAAGTCTTTCAAGGGTACCTCTGATAAAAAAAAAAAAAAAAAAAAATGATGATAAAAAATGCTTATGAAATTCCTATGAGGAGTAAGCAGGTAGGTTTTAACGTTGCAAATCTGCAACGCCTGCCTCCAGAGGGTTAAAAACTTAAGCATCTCCAAACTGCTGCAGTGTCAGTCAACATTAAATGCAATTTAATGTTTACACCTCGGACCTGGTTGGCTTTTATCGTGACACTAAACTTTATCTGCTTAAAGGGGTAAAACTACCCACAAAGGGTTGATGGTAAATGGCAGAGTGAATGCTATAACAATGGTCTGGCTTCCCCAGCAGCTTGAAAATCGCACGTTTGAACAAGTTTAACTTCAAATCTTCAATATCTATCTGTACAAACTAAAAGCTGACAAGCATCAGGAAAATGGTCTAGCTCCGTTTATTGTAGATGGTGACATCACATTTTAACAGGTTTCTGTAGCTGACAGAGAAACACTGTTTTAACAAGTATTGTGTTTAAATACTGGTCCATGGAAAGGTAAACTCTGCATCAACTGAAGTATTAAAATTAAAGCATGTAAGCGGTAGTCTAATGCTACGGGTTGGATCTAGCTAGTGCCAAGTTTCCTATTGCATGGAGCTCTGTGGGGCAGGGGGTGTGCTTATCAAAAATGTTTCATATCGCAGTACATGGTAAGGTCACGTTCACTTCTGAAAAATACAATTCTAAAAGGCAAACTCCGAAAAGCTACTTTAACTCGTTTTCATGAAACTAGATTCTGTTCAATTTTAAAGGAAACTAAATTTGGGTCATGTGGTAGTTACGCTAGGGAAGAGATGTGTCCAGAACAAAATACCCACGTTTGACTTGTCGTGCTAATATTAAACAGTTTTTATCAATGCATTTTCATCCGCTTATCTGGAGTCTGGTCGCAAGAGGCCCAGACTTCGCTCTCCCTAGCCACTTGGGCCAGCTCCTCTGGGGGGAATCCCAAGGCGTTCCCTGGCCAGGTGAGAGATATAGGCCGTGTTCGAGTTGAGCTGCGCCTCGCCTGGAGAGCAGGCGGAAGCAGCAGGGGGAGTTGCTGAAAGCCGGCATTTAAGTCTGACACAATTTCCTGCCTGTGGGTGACGATGGCTGAAGATATCATGTTAGCGTTCACACTTTAATTTTCAATTTTAATTCTGGTGCCTGTTAGCAGCTGAAACACATCCTCGCGTGCTTGTGGATATCATATATTGTATATGAAGACATGACTGTAATAAGTAAAGGTTATCAGCTGTAGTTTTAATGTGCTCATAGGAAACGTGACAAAAGGACACAAAACACATTTCTCTTTATGGCCTATATTGTAATCAGCGTAACATGATTTACAGAATACATGTCAAATCAAAATCAAATCAACTTTATTTATAAAGCGCTTTCACATGGCCAAAATGGACAAAGCGCTGTACACCAATAAAAAGCACCACAGTAGGACAGACATATAACCATTTAAAATACAATGAGCAATCCATTAGAAAAACAATAAGAAATCAGTTTAAAATACAATAAGAAATCCATTTAAAATACAATAAGAAATCCTGAGTGCAAGTTCGCAATCCGCATCTAGCCTAGTTCCCCCAACTTCAATGTCCAAACGCCAGCGAGAACAGATGTGTTTTTAGTCTGCTTTTAAAGGTTTCCAATGATTTGGCCTGCTTTACATCAGCTGGCAGCTCATTCCAGAGACTTGGTCCAAGTACTTTAAAGGCACGACTCCCACAAGACTTCAGGCTGTACCTGGGCACAGTTAGTAGTCTCTGGTAGGGCTGGGCGATATGACGATTTTGGACCGTTTTACGATCTACACATCTGACGGTCTGTCATTTTTGACAGACCTTTTTATCACGATTCACAGCTCTGCTGTTGACTTTCTGCCTCTGAATGAAAAGGGAACTTACCCCAGGCGAATGACACGCCTTTGTTTGACCCTTAGCCAATCACAGTGAGTCATAGTAATATATTAGTGCCCCGCTTGTTTTCACCTGTGTGTGAACAAACATGGCTTCGGCCGTGGCTGAGAGCGACAACGAGGTTTTCGTTCCGAAGAGGAATGCAGGGTTTCCTTAGCGCCGCACGCTAAACAACTTAGCGACGTGACATGTCTCGGAGAAAGCGTAAAAACACGTTTGACGCTTCTTCTGAAGCAGGAAAATAACACCGCTTCTTAAGCAGAGCACGACGCCGCCTCGGCTCGTTCACCCTCTGGCGAGCCGGACTGAGCTCGGCCACTGGGTCGTTGGAGCTGCCCCGTGACTGCCTGATGGAAAACCAACGGGTTTCATCAGACTCGTAGTTTCTTGTTTTTGCTGTGGACCCCCTGTATTTTACCGTTCCCTCCTGCAGTCTTCCCCTATTACAATTTAAAATGATTCTGTAAACTCTGTGTATCAATAGAAACAATCTCTGCCTCTGCCAGCTGCAGTAAATGTAGTCTTCAAATAAGAGGTGCATTCATCTGTGTATCTCCTTTGATCCGCATTAGTGATATTTTCAGCACCAGAACAGTGAAGCAAAGAAAGATTCCTGAGTTTATGTTAGTAATTTTATTTATTAGATGCATCTAACCTGTTCTGTTTTGCTCTGAAATGAGATCAAATCAGTGCTTCTATGGGTTGTCTCCAATCTGCACTGGAAAATTTTACTTTATTTAGAGACGTGTTGCAGAAAATATTCAGAATGCGCAGTTTTTTGCTACCACAAGCGATCTCTGGTCCAGCCGCACATCAGAGCCGTATTTGAGCTTAACTAGTCACTACATGAGCAACTGGGAGCTACATAGTATTTTGAACAAGTTAATGTTTGCACAATACGTTTGCAATTGACATGTTTGCACTTTAAATATGTTTACGATTTTAATTTATGTTAAGTTACTTGAAAAACGAGAAAAACTGATTTTTGTAATTGTTTCTCTCAGGGCTTTTATCATCTCTGGTGTGAGTTTAAAATATAAGTGTGTTAGCACTGTGTTGATTATCCCTAATATGAATAAATGTTTATTTATTCAATGTTTGTCTCCTTTAATACGCAATTGAAGTTATGCTATCCATGGATAAAAAATCGTGATAAAATCGAAATCGTGATAAAATATTGGAAAAATCGTGATATTCTATTTTTGCCATATCGCCCAGCCCTAGTCTCTGGTCAGCTGACCTAAGGGAATGCACCGGGACATGTTGGTGGATGATTTCAGCAAGATATTTAGGTGCCCCTGAGTTTAACGCCTTAAACACAAACAGGATGACCTTAAACCTTGCAAGTCTGCAGTTCTGTTATCACAACAAGCTCCCTAGTGAAGTCCAGACGGAGTGTTTCTCTGAACCTGGGAAAGTTTGCTGTTTGTGAAGGGGTGGGTGTGGTCCTCTTTAATGTGTGTATGCTATGTCATCTTTGAATAAAACCTTTGGATGAGCTCCGGCTCATCGAGAGACTAAACAGACCTCCCACAACTGGTGTGTTTCTTTTTTCTCTCCGGTTTTGCAAAATCTGATTATTGATTATTTGTGTTTATTGGTAAATGGAACTAATATCAATAATATCTCTATCCCCCTTGTGTGTTTTGGACTTTCTTTGAGGTACGCCTGGACTGAGTAAATAAAAATACCTAACAACCATCATTTTAATTGTAGCAACTCTCCCCATGAGTGATATTGGTAAGGATTTCCATCTTGCAAGATCATCTTCCACTTTCTTAAAAAGTGGGATGTAGTTTAGTTTGGTTAGATCTGCTAACTTGGGAGAGACATTAATTCCCAGGTATAGGATATTCCCTGACTCCAATTGTGTATTAAGTAAATTGACAAAAGAGAAATTAATTGGTAGAACTGTGGATTTTAACCAGTTAATAGAGTAATCTGAAACTTTTGAAAAAGAGTTTATCAGTTCTATTGAATGAGAGATGATTGAGAATTCCGGAGAAAGAGTAAAACATCATCTGCATAAAGACTGATCTTATGTTCTATTTTCTTACACTTTATCCCTTTAATACCTGTTGTTTGCCTAATTGCTGCTGCTAGTGGTTCAATAAAGATAGCAAACAGTGATGGGGAAAGTGGGCATCCCTGCCTGGTCCTCCTCTGAAGACAGAAGCTAGCTGATATTTGGTCGTTTGTCCTGACACGTGCTGTTGGCGAACTGTATAATGTTTGTAGCATGTTTATGAAGAAGTTCCCAAACCCAAATTTATGTAAAGTTGCAAATAAGAACTTCCAGTTAACTCTATCAAAAGCCTTTTCTGCATCTAGAGATAATATACTAGTTTCTATGTTTCTACTGTAAGAGAAATCTATCAAATTAGGTAATCTACGTGAGTTTGTGGATGACTGTCTACCCTTGATGAAACCAGTTTGGTCAGGGTGTATTATGAAGGGGGTTACCTTTTCTAATCTTTTTGCCAGGGCTTTACAAATTATTTTGAGATCAACATTAATAAGGGAAATTGGGCGATAGCTGGTAGGAAATGCAGGGTCTTTGCCTGGTTTTAACAAGAGACTGCTATTGGCTGAGTTCATGCTTGGCTGTAATCTGCCGCTCTCTTCGATTTCCCTCACCATTCTGAAAAATGTTGGAGCCAGAATGATCCAGAATTCTTTGTAGAACTCTGCTGGAAGCCCGTCTGGACCTGGAGCTTTCCAATTAGTCATGGATTTAAGGGCCTCCTGGAGCTCTGCTGATGTTAGTGGCGAGTCCAGGACTGTAACTTGGCTGCCTGATAATTTAGGACGTGTTATCCTGTCAAGGAACTCATCGATCTCATTATCTGATGGGTTTGTCTGTGGTGAGTACAAAGTTTGGTAAAAGTCTCTGAAAGTGTTGTTTATGCTTTCAGGGTCATAAACTATATTCCCGGTTGAGTCTTTAACAGCAGATATGGTAGTTTTCTCTTCAGGTCTTAAGCTTGACTGTATCACTTTTAGCATGGTTTTGAACTGGTGAAACACAATGGCAGAAGTTTAACACGAAAGAAAACACAAAACAAACAGTTTAGGTCTGTGGCTGATAAGATTTTAACTTAGATCACCTTGATTTCTATTTTAAGGGTAAACAATCTAAACACTTTCTTTGATTATAGATAAACAGAGAAAACCAGGGTTTTGATAAAGGCTAGATCCTGGAATCTTCCAGAATGACCCTTGAGAAGTTTTACCAGCACCCGGCCTTGGGGGAGAGTCAGTTATTGGCAGGTTGAGGTAAGACAGACCAAGTCCTGATAATGTCTGGCTTAACAAGTCACTTGGGAAAATTTACGTTCCTGGGAGAAAATGTAGGAGTTAGCCTGATGTTCGAAAAAGGTACCTTAGAATTTTTACGATTGTAGGTCAGTTTCAAATCCCCCCTTTTTTCTGCTAAGTATGAAAGAAACCTTTGTGTGAAAATATTATTGTTCTTCTCCGTGTAAATCCAAATAAAGTTAACCTGAGGATATAAAATGTGGATTTCCGCTACGTATTTTTTGACCAGACCTTAGGTTTGAGCTAAAAGAACCTTTGTTAGTACAACTGTGGATGAGAATAACTGCTCCCTCTGGTGGTCTGTTTCGGTTCCCACATGTCACGGATCCTATAATCCAGAGTGACAGAGAAAATACTTTAAAGATTGGATGATAAGAATTTTTGCTGAAAACAAGTCAAAATCAATAGTGATCTCCCAGAATTTTCTTGTGCTTTTTTGCCCACAGGTCGTGAAACCAGGAAATTGGGTTCTGATTAAGGTGCTGAAACAAGACAATTGGGGCAGCCAGAGGTGAGAAGGTCCATTCCAAGTACTCCTCACCACCCCCTACTGCTGTGAATATTGCTCAGAGGCCATCTTGGATTCATCTATCCCACTGCAAGCTCATCAGCATCAACTGAACGCTATTAGAGCGCAACGAAGTCCGAGTTTCAAAGGCGCGATGGTAACAATAGGTACTCATATCTCAACCCCGGTGCAGATGAAGATCTGCTTCAAGCTTGCTGGTTTCACCACATTGTTGATGTTGGTGCTCACGTTCATGGCCCTGCACTTGGGCTGCCTCTCAGCACCTGACGGAATGACTGGGACAGCAGCATCTGACGGGAGTACTGGAACTGGATCTGGAACGACTGATTGAGGCTCCTCCCTGACCACACGTAACCATCACCCGTCTCTGCTGAAGACCCCCTGGACGCAACTACGACAGGACACAGTGAAGAAGAGACGCTGGAAAAGGATAACTACTTCAATCAACTGCACCCAATCTCCAACCTGGTTTCACGGTCTAAGGATCAGAAAGAATTTTCGGGGACAAGATCAGCTCCCTGACAGGTGGACAACCACCTCAACACGCCATGGAAGGACCCTGACGTCTCCCTATTGAGAAGTTGAACTGTGCACTTTCACATCCAGGACTCCATTCTTGCATTCCAGACCTGGACTTCAAGGAACTCATCAACTTAAGACTGAAACCATCCTAATCAATGGAAGAGGACTCTAACCGTTCCTAACTATTCTTCAACCGGGACTCAGTCCACGGACAAGCCCTTTGATGAAAAACACATGGTTTGCCTCAGCTTCTGCCATAGTTAGAGCTGCATAAATTAATACTACCTGTTCATTTTTCCTCATTCACAGAAACAGCCGTGTGCGACCTGAAGCTTTAAATTCATCTGATGTTTCAATAAACTCTACTGATTTTTCTGTATATTATATGATTTTGCTAATCCCTCCCAATCTCTTTACAGGAACTGCTCTGAATTGTAGAATTGTTGCATCACAGCAAATTCACATCAATATGTATGAAAAGCTCTTCATACATTCATGATGGTGTTGATTTAACTGATTTCCATTATCTCACTTATATCTCTGTAAACTGCTGTTTGATGTTAGTGTCAGTCGTGTTTGCCTTATCGTGTTTTATTATTTAATTTGTTCTTTAGTATTTTATTTTATTTTTGTTTGGTTATCCTATTCGAATAAACAGGAGGGATTAAATTATGGAAATTTTATGTTCCATTATTTCTTGATCATTAATCCTAACTGAATGTTCACACACACACACACACACACACACACACACACACACACACACACACACACACACACACACACACACACACACACACACACCTTCTGTTCTTTTCTTATCTCATGTTATAAACAAACTCTGAGAGCAGAGGCTCTCGGCAGTTGCCTATGATCTTCTTCCCCGGATTGCAAATTGGTGACTTGTCTGCTTATTGTCTAGTTTTCTCTTCGACTGCAGGTATTGGGTAATTGATAAATTCCCTAACATGGGTGAAAAAACAAAAGAACACAGACATGTGTTGTCAGCCCAAACGGTACATTTCTTTGACAGTTTTGAACCTACTGAACAAACTGTTTGGATAAAGCATAACAATTAGGATGTGTGTGCACACCTATAGCAAATGTTTTAGGTCTTAACTGGATTCAAAACAATCAAATGCTAAATTTTTTTTTACATTTGTTGGAAATTTTGAAAATTTTGTCCTAAATATTCATATTTTTCCTAGATCAATAATACTGACATAACTGAATGTTTAATCCAAATAGAACAGATTGATTAATAACAAATTGTAAATGTATCAAAGTTAAATAAATATAAACCAAACATATAAAGGGCTTTTATGAAAATAAACAGTAAAAGAAAATAATGCCTTCTTTCTTCCAAACACTGTTTTGTTGCCTTGGAAAATATACGGAATTTGCACCCTCTGCTGGCATCAAATAGAACAACTCTCTGGTTTGCAAATCATTTAGACAAGAAGGTGGGGGATTAGTGCCCTCCAGTGTCTGAAAGTTGGTACTGCACTTTTCTTCTTTTATGCATTTAGAAGAAAATATTTTAATCTCCTTAACTTAATGGAATGTGGGTCTGTTTAAATGATTAAACCTAGTGATCAAAACCAGAATAGTTTGAATATCTACTTTTACTCTGAAAGTATAACTGTCACAGACCATCCTACTTCTTCTATGGCTTTCCACAGCTTCAACTGAAAGTTCCACAAGAACAGGGAGATAGGGCTGTATAGCGTGATTGAATTTGATAATTTACACTACATAACAGCAAGGTTGAAAGGAGATGTTATCATAAGGAGATAATTCTACAACTGACCTGTGTCTGTCTGGATCCAAGTAATACAGAGAGACCTCACCAGTGTGGACCATGTTGGTCTGTAATATATGCTGTCAGGGACTTCCCTGTTCAGCTTGGTGACATGACGTTTGACAGTGGCAAACCTGACCCTTTGAATATGGGTGTTTCATGTATGGATTGGTGGCGCCTGCTACCCTGAAGCTGCTTGATGTGCTGCAGGCAGCTGCCTTGCGGGTGTGTATTGGGGTGTTTTGGTCTACCCCTGTGGCTGTCTTCCTCATTGAGATGGGTGAGATGCCGTTGGAGGTCTGTTGCACTAAACTGGGGCTACGCTATCTATTGAAGGTCAAGGGTATGGGTAGGAATAGCCCATCTTCTGAGTTGTTGGTCGGTCACTGGGAATTAGAAAAAGGTGGCGAGTGGCTAGGGGTGGTTTTCCTCATTGGCTGAGGAAACGGGTGGTGGGGCAGGGCTTCCTCGAAGGGTCTGTTCGCTCCCAGTTGGTTTGGCCTGAGCTTTTGCCTTGGCTACTGCCGGTCCTTGACGTGGACTTTTCTTCAATACATCGAGGACGGAGTGGCAGGGAAGTGGGGGCTTTTATGGATTTTATGGGGGTAGCTTGGGATTCATCCTTGCACCTCTATACTATTGGTTCCAAGGACCCTGAGAGTGGTAGAGTGGCGGTGTGATTGGGGGTCCCTCTTTTGGGTTTTTTGTTTAGGTCATTGCATAATGGACTGTTGCTCCGTATTTACGACGGAGTTGGTGGCGATTTTGTGGGCCTTGCAGTGGGTGGCGGAACATTGGCCTGCAGTTTGCTCTGATTCTGCTGCTGCTCTTGAGGCGTTGGAGGGAGGATGTTCCAGGTCTTGGCCTGACTTGCTGGTTGGGATCAGGATGATGTTGGACGAGGTGGTTGCTTTGGGGTTTGAGGTTTGTTTTGTGTGGGTTCCTGCTCATGTTGGGGAGGAGGGTAATGAGAGGGCCGAAACTATGGCTAAGGGGGCGCTGTTGAGGTGTGAGGTGGATTTGGAGGTGGGGTTGGGAGCATGTGAATGTCGTTCAGCGGTGGGTCGGGTGGCAATAAGACCTGTGGCAGGCCTCATGAGACGTTGGGGTTACTGGGAAGGCTTATTATAATGGGGGTTCCTGGGGTTGCCCTTCCTAGCAGAAGGAGATACCCCGTGGTCTTGATGAGGCTGCACCATAGTTGTCTTCTTGGGGGGGTCTCCTGTTAGTGGGGATTTTCATTGTTACGTGAAAAACATGACACCCTTTTATTGTGTGCAAATGTTAATTAAAACAACAACACTTTATGATGTTGTCTCAGTTTCTTGTTTAGTAAATGCACCAATATTCATTTGGTTTTGCTATTTAATTTTAATGTAAAGAATTTGATGCTAAATGTGGGAAAGACAAAGACTCTTAATGAACTCTTCTCTTTTTCTTGCTCAACAAATCAAATATTTCACAGTTTCAGGTTTTCTTGTGTTGTTTGTCATCACTCTGCTCGTTACTCACCTGAGCTCTTTCTACTGATTAGCTCAGCTTTTTGTCATCCTCTAATCAGTCCTCCCTGTATAAATAGTTCTCAGGTTCTTCATCCGATCACCTCCATGCTAGATACTTTAGCTGGGCTATGGTCATACCAGTGTGTGGTTCATTTGCGGCTGTCTAACTGAGTGACCCATCATGTTGAAGCTGAGAGCTCTGGTTCTTTTACTGGCAGGTAAAAACAAACAAACAAACAAACAAACAAACAAACAAACAAACAAACAAGCAAACAAACATGTCTTATAGCAGGCTGTGATGGATGAGAACGGTAATTCTCATGTTGTCTCTTTGCTGCTGCAGTCTGTGCTAGCCAGTTTAATCTCCATGAGGCTGTGGTATTTATTGGTTCTGGAGAGTTTGACTTCCACACGTGTCCCATCAACTTCTGTGGAATCGTGTATACACGAATGAGGGTGAGTTAAATGCAGTGAAACTGAACCTAGTGTTTAAAACGGCTTTTTATCTGATATTTGTTCCACAGGTGACCTTCAACAACGCGATGTTCTCCATGTGGTCTACAATCAGCCCACTCTGCCTCTCGTTGGTGGACCCACAGGATGACCGTGTTTCTGCAGAGGTTATGTTTGAGGACACCAACCCTGGATCATTGACTAACAAGGCTATACGCAGATTCAACACAACCTCTCACTGTAAGATTAAGCTTGAGCTGCAGGATGAATCCCTGAGAACTCACGTAGGTTTCACTTTTATTGGCCTTAATTCTGATGAAAGGTTCTCCTGTAATCTGAGATCTTCTGTCCATGTTCAGGTGGTGATTGTACTGTATAACTTTGGAGAAAAGTCAGCAATTCAGATCATTCCAACAAGTGACTTCAGCTCATCTAAGCTGGTAAATGCTGACAAAAGATCTAACCTTTAGGGTTTTTTAACAAGTGCCTGACTTCTCCTCTCTGGTTTGCAGGAATTAATAAATGAACTGAATAACGTCCCAGTTTATTCAGTGTCTTATAACTTGGCTCGCACAAACCGGCAGAAGGGCGTAAATTTTGTAGTGAGCAACTGCACATTTGAAGGTGAGTTGGGATATGTGTCAGGTGTTAAAATGTAAAACTTATTGGTTTTTTTTTCCTTCTCTTCCAGGGTGGACACATGGTGGTCTGACCAACGTAACTTCAAGCTAAGCATCTGCAGAGAAATGTGTCCATCTAACATGTGTAAAGCTAATAAACTAGTCTGGCCTGATATTTTCTGCTCAAACTATTA